TTGGCAGAGATGAGGATGCTCAGGTGATGAGTGGCTTTACCCTTAGAGATAGGATACGAAATGAGCATATACGTGAAAAGGTTGGAGTAGCTCCAGTAGAAGATAAGATTAGAGAAAGTCGCCTTAGATGGTTTGGTCACATAAAACGGCGGTCTTGCGATGACTCGGTTAGGAGAGTAGAGGTATTAGATTTGACTTATGTTAAGAAAGGTAGGGGTAGACCTAAAAAGACTTGGTTAGAAAATATTAGGAATGACCTTTCTTTATTAGATTTAAATGAGAATTTGACTTTTAATAGGACACAATGGAGAAAAAGGATTCATGTAGCCGACCCCACTTAGTGGGATAAAGGCTTGATGTTGTTGTTGTTGTTGTTGTTGTTTATTATAGGAATCTTTAGGCAATTGCCCCCCACCCAAAAAAAAAAATAAAAATAAAATACTATGATCTTTAATCGATTGCCCCTTAGCAGAATTATGCACATTGTGTAGAGGGGTTATTACAAAGAATTTTAGGCAAACCCCTAAAAGTTTTAAATTACTATGGTCTTTTGGCAATTCCCCCCAGCATAATTAAACACATTATGTATATGTGTTATTGTTAGGGAACGATCAACAAAATACAAAGAGAAATAACAAAGAGAATCCAAAAATATCCTTAAAACCAAAATTGCCCCTTGACCCCGCGACCTGACTGGGCAGGTCGAATCCCATCAAGGGGTGCTGCCCCCTTGGACCCCCGACATATTGTGTAGAGGTATTACCTAATTTTGGTTTAAAAATAATTGACATTATACAAGATGTTGATGATATTTTTAAAATATATTATATATTCAAGTACAAATAATCATTAGTCACTAAAATGATATAGATATGAAAAACAATATCTACACTTTTACTTATAAGGTTGCCCCTCCTGAAAATTAAAGTTGGTTCCGTCCCTGATGGCGGTGCCTGAAGAATTATGGTAGGGAGAGTTCAGGTTCGGTTTAGGGTTCGCCTGTTCAAATAAGCTCGTCAAGAAGTGTAGGAGCTTACCTCATAAACGGATTTATATATTGGGTTTGCCAAAGGGTTGAGATCATGAGATAATATAAGCTTGAAACACTGTATGGTGAAGAGTAAACTCGGATTCGACTGGCTTAAATCCTGATTAGCAACATCTGGGGACTATTTAGCTATGAGTCAGGCTTCCATAAGCTGACTTAAATCCTTTCATAATATCTTAGCTTTAATATATTTATCAATTATCATTTTCAAATATGGAACAGTTTTAGTTGACATGTTATTAACTAGCTAATCCCATGCAAGAATGACTAAATTGTCATCATTTAGTAACTTTAGTTTGCTAATTCTAATGATAGATTAATATGTAAATGTATATAAATAAGCTTATGATTATAGTCATGATTTGCAACTGATTTGGAGGTTGACTGTTGAAGCAATGACCATTAATTGTGGGATGGGGTGGTCATGTTGCAACAACCTTGCATAGCATCGATAATTTCAGTTTTTTTACCAAATTAATCGATACGTAAAGAATTACACCATTACAAGTGGTGATGGTTGAACAATTACATTGATTTAATAGGCAACAAAGATTGTGAGCGGTGGTGTGATTATGAGTTGAAAGGGTGTGACAGTGACGGTGGTGATGGTGATGGGGATTTGTTAGAGAGACAAAGATTACAACATCTCAATTAAGCATGGAGGAGATAGAAATGGTTAAAAAGGCACTAGTAGAGATGAAGGTGTCAATAATGGTGGGGATTGTAAGAGGTGATGGCCATGATGCATGCGAGCTACCAATGTACGACATGAGCGAGAACTATGTTGTGAGGGAGAACAAGAGCCTGGATCAAGTGATCACCTAAGGGACATATCTCAGAAAGATGGATGTTGGGGGACTAGCTTAAAGCTAGCTCGACCTTTCTTTTATGAGAAAAAAAATTAAGTTTAGTGGAGTCCGGCTTAACCCAAGAACCTGATTCACCTTTTTTCTATTTGGCATGCCTTAAGTGGAAGAAAATGAGCTTAATGTGAAATTTCTGCTCTTATTATTAATAATTTTTTTTGCTGTGAATAGCTATTTTGTACTTGTGACCACAAATGTTGTAGTTATTCTTGAAAACTCAAGAGATATTAACTTCTTGCGTTGGAGTCCAAGTGAAGAGATATATATACATACGTTATACACCTTCTTGTAAATATCATGTCTAGTGATCTAAGTGAATTTTTATTCACAAATCTCGTCCTATGCTAATCTCATGTCCAGGTTGAAATAACAAATAAGTTATAGTAGTTAGCAGGAGGCAATGCGTAGTCTAGCTGAGTTATAAGGAATATTTGTTTCTTATATAGGCTTGGTAGTATTCAAATTAATAGGCAATGCTATACTTGGTGGTGGAAATTTTTTTTATTTGGTCATGAATATTTACATGGGATCAATGCAATCAATAGTTAATTAATGAGTTTGAGAGACATGAGCCATGTAACCAGGAGAAGGACAATGAGACTTTGTTTCTTGAGCCGCAAAGCAAGTTGTTTATTCTCCTTGACATCTAATGCATAGTAGGCTAGTAGCAAAGGAACATTGTTCAAGGAGCATTTGAGTTAAGATATTTTGATATAATTGTGATTTCTTTATTATTATTATTATTATTAAGGTTCTATTTGTGGTCAAATTGGATGCACTTAGGCTTAGAGAATAGTGTTTTTATTTGTATAACTTTTTGATAGTGGATCAATTGCTCCCCCTGCCCCCCTCTTGTAGATGTAGGATGCTTATGAACTATATAAATTTTGGTATTTTTTGTATGATCTTTTTTACTATTTTTTATATGTATATCAAATTAGGTCTTGTGGCACTTTTGAATAAACTAGTGTTCATTAAAGCTCTGAAAGTTGGGTTATCGATGAAAGATCTAAGGAATAACAAATAACAAATAACAAATGAAGAGCTAGGCAGACAAGATAAAGTTCTTATTTGGACTGGACTGGTCAACAAATTATAACATTGGATTAGGATTTATTTTGCTATCTTTTATTGATAATTATAATACTACAACAACAACAACAAGGGGTGGGGGGCGGATAAGTTTTAGGATATTGCCTAAATATTTGCTCATGCATGATATGATATTAGCCATCTTTTAGCTTAAAAGGAAGCTCATTTTGCAGGAGATTAATATCTTGATTGGTTATTGGATTTCCCTCAACTATAGACACTCTTTATGCTAATTTTCTCTTTTTTTTTGTTGGTTACTTTTAGGTGGAGAAAGAAATGAATCACACTAAAATTTAAGTCATGGAGTTTTAGGAGATTTATACTTTTCTTAGAATCGATTGGATACAGGCGTAGGGTTGTTGGCATGAGAAAGTTGGTTTTGTAACTTTAAGGGACTATTAGTTTCTTAGTTTAGCTTCGTTGTATTCATATTAGTAGGCAATGGTCTGCATGGCGTTGGAATTGCTTTAGCTTGACTGTCAATATTTACATGGAATCAAAGTCAGTGAGCAAGTATTGAGCGAGTTGGTGAGTCTTGAGCGATGCAACTAGGAGGAACATTGTATTTATTTTTTTTCAGTGGGTCCATGAGGCTTGAGTCATGTAAGCAGGAGGAATATTTTATTTGTTTATTGGTTGCGAAGCAGTTAAATTTCTTGATTTCTTATGCAAAACAGTAAACAATAATAGTTCCAGGAACATTTAGATTATCTGGTATGATTATGATATTTAGGTTATGCTTTTTGTTGTTTTTTGTTTTGGGATTTTTTAGGCTTATCTTTATTGTGATTGTAAGTGTACTTGGTTTTGAGTAAATTTCTTCTTTTATCCCATTTATTTGTACACCTATGCGGCTTCTTTATCCCTCTCTTCTCTCTTGTTGATGTAGGATACATTTGAACCATATAATTTTTAGTGTTCTATGTGTTTGATTTCTTTATCACTTATTAGTGTGTTTGTTGAATTAGATCTTGTATCACTTCTCACACTGTATTAAGGACTAAAGCATAAGAAGGTTGAAGAAAAATTCACGCTCATAGATTTTATTTTAGCCAAAGTCGCTTTTACGTATCTTAAAATACTTGGCCCTTGAACTAGTTAACACATAGGAGCTAGAGTACTTTGTTGAAATCCAATCGTAGCCATGTTGCATGAATGGGAAATAGTCTTGATAAGCCATCTTAATAACCGGAGAATGCTACAAACTTGGGTAAGGAGAGATCATAGGATGCTGCATTCCATAACAAGGAGACAGCAGGTTTTGCTACAGTATAAAATCCGGCTGCGAATAAGCAGCACTACAATTCCTGGTAAGAAGAATCGCTGATTTTTCTATAGTTGTCAAAATAGGATAAATTGTGGAATAGGAGATTCTAAAGGAATCATAGGATAAGCTGTCCCCATCTCTTTAGATCCGCATCAAATGATTAAGGTATGACCATATATGCATGTTTCTTCCTAATTATTTTTTTTCCCACTTTGCCGGCATCTTTGCCGGCATCAAAACTTCGGATAAAGTATTTGATTGAATAGCTTATGTTCCTTTGATCTGCTATCTTTATTATGTATTAAGCATCGTTTTGGAAAGAAATGTAGAATGGCTTCCTTTTTAAGTTTCAACTTCATTGACGCATCTGGGAAATCTCCTAAATGTTAAAGGTGCACATTTGCAGAGGGGATTTGATGTATTATAAAAGAAAATAAGAACTACCAGATGAACATAAAGGAATATAACAACATAGTGTCTTGATGATTTGGTCTCAATTGCCCTGAGACAAATTATTCTTTTTATGTCATTCTCAGCATAAGAAAAGTTTTTTGCATGTTCCATTTGATTCATGTTTTGCATGCTAGAAGAAATGATACAATACAATTCATGCTGTACTCATTTAACTGGATGTTCTGATAGTTAGAATTGAGCAAATGGTAGGCAAGCGACAGGTTCATTTATATATAACCTAGTCATTTCTCATGGATAATTGTTTTTTATTTAGGTTTTGGGTTTTATACCGAGCTAAGCAAGATGGTCCTGTAGTATTGGTAAGCTCCTTGTTCAGCCTTTCTTAATTTCTTCTTTCCATGTAACCCGTAAATAATCTTTTTTTTCTAAATCTAAGGGATGGCGTCATCCTTGGGAAGGACATGGGGACCATTCTCATGGTCATGACAATGAACACGAGGTATTTGAACAATATTCATTAGATGTCGGCTTGTTCATACATTTTTCTTTTCTCTTTGTATCTGTTTTCTCGTATTCCAGTCATGCCTGTTTTTTTTATGCCGCTAATTTTGAAATAATTGACAATTCTCTCCGTCAAGAATGAATGAATAATAACATTCACATTTTTTTTTAATGTATCACACTAAGGATTTGTGTTGATACTAAGATTGTTAATATTATAAGTGCTTATGCTCCTCAAATAGGTTTGAATTTTAGTTCAAATTTTAAATTTTGGAATGACTCAGAAGAATTAATACAAAATCTACCTCTTGAAGAGCTTTAAGAGAGAGTTTTTATTGTAGGAGATTTAAATGGACATGTTGGTAGAGAGCTAGATGATTTTAAAAACATTCATGGTGATCATAGGTTTGGAACGACAAATGAAAGTGGTCAGACTATTTTAGATTTTTCTTTAGCTTATGATTTCTTAATAGCTAATACCTTATTTAAGAAAAGAGATGAACATCTCATCACTTATAAAAATGGATATAGTGAAACGCAGATTGATTAATTTCTTATAAGAAAATTAGATTGTTTAGATTGCAAAGATTGTAAAGTTATTCTGAGTGAAAATTTATGTACCCAACATCGATTATTAGTTTTGGACTTTAAGATAAATGTACAAAAAATAAAAAATAAAGTAAAATGATTTTCTAGGATTAGATGGGGGCATTTAAAGAATATTAACAAAAGTATTTTTGAGAGTAAGATTTTAGATCTTAAGATTTTGTCTGTGTATGAGGATTCAAATATTGTGGGAAAAAGTGACTTGTGATATTAAGAATATTGCAAAACATGTGTTTGGAGTTTCGAAGGGAAAAACTCTTAATAGTAAAAATAGTTGTTGGTGGAATCCAAATGTGCAAGAAAAGATAAAAAATAAGATGATTTGTTATAAAAATTGGTTTAGATGTAAAAATTCTAATAATTGGGAAAACTATAAAGAGGCTCGTAAGGAATCTAAGAAAGCTATTTGCGATGCAACGAGCTTAGCTTTTAATGATTTAGAATATATTAGATACTAAGGAGGGAGAAAAATATTTATATAAGTTAGTCAAACAAAGAGATATGAGTAGTAAGGATTTAGTTCAAGTGAAGTGTATTAAGGATGAAGATCAAAAAGTACTTTTCTTAGAAGATATTCAACAAAGGCGAATGAGGTATTTTGCTAAACTTTTTAATGAAGAATGTGAAAATACAATTGACTTTATCACCCTAAATGAAAATAATATTTTTTGTTTTTATCGGCGTATAAGTAAAACCGAAGTTAGAGAGGCTTTAAAGAAAATGAAGTGTGGAAAAGCTGTTGGACCTGATGATATTCTAATAGAGATGTGGAAATGCTTTGGAGATGAAGGAATTTTTTGGCTTACTAAACTTTTTAATACTGTTTTGAAAACTAAAAAGATGTCAGATCAGTGGAGAATGAG